TCTCTGGTCCACCCCCACTCCCCACCCCCAGCACCCACCACAGGTCTTACTCACAGCAGTGCCCATTAAGTGATGTGGGATTTAATTAAAGTGCTCCTTATGACCATAATCCTCTAAATAAGAAGCTGTTTCTAGACAGGAAAGAAGTGGATTGCTTGGTTTCTACAAATGAATTTAAAACCAAAGACACAAACAGCAAAATAAATAAAAGTGCCACACTGACCTAAAATGTAGCAAGTAACACTGTATTTGTAGGGCCAATCCATTGCATTCTAATGGGTCTTGATCATTCACGGTATTTGTTATGGTCTGGAAGAGTGGCGATTCCGTAACGGTGCAAAAGTGAATAAAGTAATTTCTGGAACTTAAGAGGGAAAGCAAAATTCACCTCAAAATAACTCTACTGCAATGCTCTTCTATTTTCTGGGAGACTTGGCACTCTAGGTATAAGGTTAATTCTCCTTCCCCTGGGCATTCCTGTGAGTGAGCTTTTAAACTGCTAAAAATAAGTCCAATTCCTTATTTGAAAGCCATGGAAAAAAGCATGGCAAATACTAATTTTCTTTTTGAAGTGCAAGGGAAGTGTGGGCTCCCCGAGTCTTCATTATTTTTATTTTTTCTCCTTAGGAAGAGCTAAATTTCTTCAACTGTAGAGGATACGCACATGAAGCACTTCATGGAGAAAGGGTTAATGAGAGACTGAAATACCTGCGCACATTTCCGCTGCTCTCCACTACACCTCCAGGACAAATAAGGATGAGTTGTCAAGTTAAATCTAAGCAGTCAAGTGACTGAATTATAATTTACTCTGTGCTCAATTTAAATTAGTGTGAGGCTATTAAAATATACAGTATAAATACGGCAATTCATCACAAGCTGTCATGGATGACTTCATTTATTTGCTGGAGTGGCACACGCTCCACTAAAGGGAAGGAGAGCAAAATCACAGGTCAAATTAAGCCTCTATTCTGTTTTAATTCGCTTATTTAATCTGTGGCGACATAATTGTCTTTTACAGTATGTACAACTCAGAAAGGAAATTTGGGAGGATTACAGTCAGTATACAAATGATTAATCAAATGGTCCATTTAAATGCTAGTTTAAAAGCAGCAGAAACCCAAAGCAGTCAAAGAATGATAATCAGCACATGCTATATACAAGCTAAGAAATTTCCTGTTAGATGACTTTTTCCCAATCGGAATATAAAAAATATTAGGAAATACATTAAGCTGTACTCTTTGAAGGATTGTACCGAAACATTAATGATATAAAAAGGTTCCGTATGCAAGATAGCTAACTGTTTTTGTTTTCTGCTCTACTTGTTTGCGACTGTCTTGCGTATCTACACCCCTCCCCCTAAAATAAAGCTAGTTAGAAACACATTTCATGAGTTATAGTCATTATCAAACAGTTATCTTTAAAATACAATTAGCATTTTTCAAAATGGTCTCTTTAAGGTAGAAATTGTCTGAATTCAGTGGTGTAAAATAAAAATCCAAGGTATTTCTATTCCTCCGAAAGTTCAACTTGCTTTTTAAAATATCTGAATTAATGGCAGCTCTTCCTGCCCATGGGTACTTGTCCTCGTGCTTCAATAAAACCACCTTTTTGCACCACACGCACACACACAAAAATAATAAAATAAAATAAAATATCTGAAGTAATGATTTCCCACCTTTAAAGTCTGAAAGGGGAAATACTATGATATTCTTTTGTTGGTCTAAAACATAAGAAGATTTAAAAGTATAAAAAATACAAATATTTTGAGTAGGAAGAGAAAAGTAACAGATTTTCAAGGACTT